ACTAGGTCATTGGTTCAGAAGCATCAGTGCTCTTTATTGGATGATTACATCGGAAGATTAGTAACCATTTATTCTTGACTTGCAACTTAACGGAAAAAAAAAGGTTTTGATCAATTAGCTGTTAGGTAAAAACAAACAATTCATTTTCTTCAGCTGTAGTTAGACTTCAGTGACGCTCTACAGCTATATGATATTTTAATCATGTTGTTGTATCTGTTCTCATTCTTGTAGCTCAACAATGAACCTTCATCTTGCAGAGAAAATTACCTTCTCCGGGATTCCAGGTCGAGGTCGTGCTTGTGAATTATGATGGGTCTAATCCTCCACGACAAAGTAGTTCAAATGCCAACAAGGAATCTGCTGGGGGCACCACATCTGTTACTGCAACAAAAGAAAGTAGCACTCCACCTTCTACAGCTGATAGGGACTCTGGAAATCAAGACAAAGATGATGTCTTCTCGGATAGTGAAGCGGAAGAGACTGGGTCCTCCAAGAGCAAGCGTGACAGGATGGTTGGTGATAAGGATGGAACAACAATTACAGCAAAGGGAATTGAAATAAAGTCTTCAAAAGAGGAAGCCGCAACTATATCACAAGACATTAGTCAAATTTCACTAAAAGATGAAGCGGACAGTAAAAAGAATCCTGATGCTGCTGATGCGAAAATTGAAGGGAGCAGTAAGAGTTCAATAACGGAGACCCCTGAACTGGAGTCCACCACCATGAGTGAATTCAAGGCAATCGCTGCAGATGCTTCGGTCTTTTCTTTTGGTGATGATGAAGACTACGAGAGTGAATGAGCCTAGCCATTTAGCATTCATCAGAATGTAAAGATAAATGCATTCAAGGACATATTGATAGAGTTCATATATATTGGAGCTTGAATGATGTATGTGTTAATCACATCTGGACTATGTGGAAAGGGTGGGAAATTGGCTTGTTACTTGCATTTCATGTTGTGTCTGGCTCTCTATTTACACCATTGAACACTTGATACCAGTGGGCTGACAGTATTCCCTCTTCTGCCTTGTTCAGACTCGTTTAAGATTGAGAAAACTCTTAAGATTGGGATTTCAAATGAGGCCTTTCTCTTTTTGCATTCTTACAGTTGATGATTGCTGAGTTCAATCTACTTTAGTTCCACATCAGGAGTTTATATGACTTAAATGGACTTATTAAAGTCTATTATTATTAACTCAGGTTTACATATTTTTAGTTAATATTTTTGATTGATCAAATTAATATTTCAGTTTTGCTGTATATTTCAGTGTTCGAGTAGAAAGTTAATACCCAACTGAGGGCGAAATTTGTGGGTTCTTACTTACCAATTTGTTAATTCGTGTCATTTACCCATTTGCCTAATGAAAACTACGGTTAACATCACGACGAGAGTTCGTGTGGGGTAAAAAGGTAATCGAAACCCCACGAGGGTATAAATGTAAAATAAGATATCTAATTTTAATTTGAACTTGTGTCGCGTCCCGCCTCCTCCCTACTATATAAAGTTAGTTAGACCCCGAGAACAAGACCAAGAAACCATCTCCCCTGGACCCTGTCCCACCGTCGCGCCCTCTCCCTATGGTGGAAGCGATCTCCACTGGAACCTCGCCGCCGGTCTCCTGATCCTCCGTTTACCCTTCTACCTCTTCGCGGTTGCGACTGCGCCCCTACCCATGGGCGTCGGCTTCCACGGCTTTGGATTTCTCGACGACGGGTTGATTCCCTTTGTCGCCTTGGACAAGCAAGTGGTCGGTGTGTGTGCGGGTAAGTGCTGGCGCTGGAGGCGGCGGGTGGATCGATCTTGAAGCTGCTGGAGTTTGCCAAGGAGAGGTTACTATGGCCGGTCGCTCGATCGATCTGAAGCTAAATTTGCGGCGGCGTAGGAGGCCGCCTGTGGCTCAATCTTGAAGCTGCTGGAGTTTTCCAAGGGGAGGTTGATTAGGCAGATGGCTCGCTCGATCTAAAGAACAACATGATGAAACCATAGGAAATGGCATCCGTAGAAATCCCATCCATCCCCTGATCTGTCTTTCGCCGCTTCATCGATCTCTGCTCCCCACGAACCTGGGCTTCCTCCTCTCCCGCCGGCGCTAGACCTGCCTACTTCCTGCGGTAGCGGACCTAATTCCATCCTGGCTTGTACTGCTCAGTCTCTCCCGCAGGACCCCGCCCCTCTCCCTTTGGTGGAAGTGATCTCCGCTAGATCCTTAGCCAATCTCCTACCCCTTCGCTTCCTCCGGCCTTCGTTGGCTTGGTCGATCTTGATTACGGAGTGTTGGGGAGCTTTCTGTTGCAGATGAGGATGGTGATCTTGGAGTCTTGCAAGTAGGTGCTGCGATCGCCCATTACTCGTATCCAAGGATGATTGAGTTCTTCCATGACTGGTTCGTCTACATGGTTCTGCTTCTCCTTTCATGTTCATTCAATTAATATCATTCATGGCATAAAATTACTTAGATATTCCGGTTACATTAGCAATTCGCTTTGACACTATGTCCATGAAATGCCATTTATAAAAGAAGACACTAATATCTTAACCTTTTCATAATGTTCCAACTACAATTAGAAGAAAGAAAGATTATATTTACTGTTGAACTTTGGATCTCTTTTTTCCCCTGTATACACAAGAGCTCTTTAGCTGGCCTTAGAAAATTATGCATTAGAAGGACGATGATTACTGGTGATCTTATATTCTTGTACGTGCGTACAATCATATATGTTGGCTGTTGTAGCACATCTGTCAATCAGTGTATCTGGGGGCATGATGATTTGTCATTGTTCTTGCTTCCGAATATTATGTGAGACAATGTCTTTAGGGTTCCAAAGTAACTCAGTTTCCCTTGTTGAATTATATGCATTGGACTTAACATGAGTATGCACTATTTAATGTGGTAGTTCAAGCAACGAGTGAGAGCTTCTGAAATCGTTTGCTAATAGGTAAAATGATGAGTGTCTTCAAGAATATAAGGTTCATATATTTCTGGACGCTTGAAGGTTATTTGTGCTTCTTGGTCGATCAGTTGCATTGGAGCACTTCTTCTTGAGTTCTCTAATCCAAATGCAACCTTGAGGTCCTTGTACCTGTCAAATAAACCTTTAGGTTTGTGGGCATGTCCTTTTAGCTAAATGTGGTGTGTTTAGTATGCTGTTGTTAGGTTGGTAGCTGTCATTATTTTGTCAAATCTTCCATGGAACTCTATTTTAGAATATGCTCTATGATTGGCCTCATTCTGTTGGAAATGATTATGATTTTAAGACCTTGTTCATTAGTTGTTTTATAATTGTAATTTTAAGACCTTGGAAATGATTATGTCATCCTTGATTGTTGGGACCAAAGGCATGTTGTTGCTAAACATACTAAGGATATATCTCAAAAACATTGATAGAAATATGAGCTAATTATAAATTACCTCTTCTAGTTAGATTTTTTTTATATTTCGATCTTTAAATTTAAAAATTGATATTAAAATTTTTATAGTCATGAAGGTGAAACATCTAATTTTATTTATCATAACATAATCGATTTTATCGACGAAAGCACAATAGGCAAAAACATAATTTCAACATTCCAATTATGTTTTCGGTGATGACGGATGACAACACCGCTAGGGGCCACATGTAACTATTATGGATAAAGAGGGAGAGTAATAATAAGAGATGATGCAAAAGAAGAGGAGGACGTAGATGCCGACGCTTTGCATTTGTGTCAGCATAGATGCATATACAAATGAATGCATCGGCGCCAACGTAGATGTAGAATATTATATTCTTCCTCCTCTATCTTTGCCTCACCACTCGTCTCTGCTCTCCCTCTTTATCTACAACAATCATCTGCGACTCTCAATGGTGTCATCATCCACCACCATCGAAAATATAATTTGAATATTAAAATTATTTTTTTGTCTATCATTTCTGTGCTTCTGTCGTAAAACTGACGATATTAGGATAAATAAAGTTAGATATTTCACTTTCATAACTATAAGGATTCAAATATTTTTTTTTAATTTAAAGATCAATATGCTAAAGAGATCTAACTAGATTGAGGGAATATATAATTAGTCCCAAAATTTCATATCTCCGGTACTATGGCAGCAGGTGAACCTTTTTTCTAAGTTTATGCTTTAACGGTTATAATTGTTGAATTCCATATCGTAGAGGGTTAGAACGATATGGCTTTTGGTGTCTTTTTCAGTGGATGTTAGCCTGTAATAGTGTATCATCAAATATGTATGATGTAGTGCTGAACCTTCAATCATCAAATCTCACTTATTTCTCTTAGATCAATTCTTCCATTTTTTAAGATAATTAAATTTTTCAATGATTAAATTTTAGTTTTTTGTGTATCAATCAATATTCAGTGTTACGCACTTTGTACGCTTTCCATTTTCTTCAACCATAGAATCATTTCAGATGCTATTTCATCTCCTCACTTACTGTTTGCATCACCCACACGAAGTTAGGTAAGGGTCTAATAAATCATGATTGTACTATATTGTCGGGCATAATATTAGTTAAAATCTGAACAAATTAGGTACCCACGACTTGACAAAATTTCATCCAGATCAATCAGGTATCGATCTGGATGAAATTTTTTAGGGATAAAAAGGTATATACGATGGCATGATATTAGTTCAAATATGAATAGATTAGGCACCCACGACTTATCTGCAACTCAAGTTTAACGTTTTAATCTATTAAATATGTAGAATGGCCAGATTATTTCATTTAATTCAATCTAGTTGAAGTTTTTGAGGAATTGGATAGTTATACACTGTAATCTATTGTGTAATGATATCAGTTAGATTTGAGAAATTTGAACAAAAAATAAAGGCCACATGTTTTTCTTTAATCAGTTTTTTCTGACTATACTTATTTGTTCTGCAGGTTATAAATCCTTAGCCAACTTTTCTTTTTGAGATTTTCAAGGCTGTATTAAGCCTTTTGACAAAGCGATGATAGAGCAACGCACTCAATAAAGAAGATATGAATTGGGAGAGACCAAGAGCAATTGAAGTATTTCATCTATTGCAATGATTCTGATCTTTCTTCTGAGGCCATGCAATGTAATAATTTATGCTGACTAACATACATGAGATTATCATGGTCACCATGCCTTGATAACATTAGGTTGAGCCGTCACCTGGCTGGCACATACAGAGCATCATGCAGAGCATTGAGTTTGTCCAAAGGATTTCGGGCTCCAACTTGAGTTATTAACATAGCTTTTCACCTGCTTTTACGATCTCGCGTTCCTACAAAGAAACTGTGGTAAAATTTGTCCCAGTTTAGTTTTGATACAAAGAGGAATGATTCATTGTTCCAAAAAACACTCCAAAAAAGAAAGAGAACGTTGCTTTTTCTCATTACCTCTTTAAATCTACGTTCACAAGTTTCTCAGCAAGTACATCCACAGTGACAGGCTTTGTGAGAACACACTAGTATTGATGAACTCCCGTTCCAAAAATCTTTACAGATCTGTTGATGAACAGACAAGGTCAGCAGCACCAATCTTGTTTATTAAGCACTCAATCAAAACATGTTTGTCATGCCACATAATGAGAGAGGAAAAGGATATAACAGAAAGATGTGAGAATTGATATCAAGAAAAAGGGGGAAGAAAGATGTGTGAATACATGTTGCTTTTCTCCTTTCAAATTACAACAACACACATCAAATCGACAATTAATGAACATCTTTGGGCAATCTAGAGAAGGTAAGTGTGACAAACAGAAGCCTTGTAAAGTGGTGTTGAATTAATAAACTCGTCAAGTGGTGTTGAATTAATAAACCTAAACAATCTTTAGCTAAAACTCAGCATTTGCCTAGAACATCAGATCAACGTATAAACGCAAAGAACCACCTAAACAATCATGCATAGGCAAAAAAACCATTTAAACCCACAGCCAGTCAAAACGGAAACCGGTGGTGGGACAGCTCAAACATTCTAAATACATGGAGAACAACCATAGTGAACCACAAAATACGAGATCAAGGATCATCATATTCACAGCACATATGGCACAAGAAGACAATAAAGAAGAACTTCCCATGATCAACAAATCTGGCTGAACGATTGGAACTTACTGGTGCATCTATAGATGGCAACTATACATGAATTCTTTTTTGGTCACTCTTCTGGAGCTCCTTATGTAACCAACGAGATATATGGCCATAGAACAAACTAAGATGAGCAAGATATCTTTTGCAGGAATTGGCTTTGTAATTAATAAGATAAACGGAGATATCATGATGTTTGGAGGAAGGCCATGTCGAGCTGCGTCTCGAATAGAAGCTGAATGTTTAGCATTATTGGAGGATTTGCAGAAGATGGCTGAGCTCAAGCACTCAAGAATGCAGATTTGCACAGATGCCCAGAAAATTCTCAAGTTTTTGAAGGATGAGGCTCTGATTCCTTGGAAACTACGGGCTGTTGTATCTATAAGATTAAACCTCTTTTTGATTGCCTGTCAACAGCATTACATATGTGCCCCATGAGGCCAATATTATAGCACATATAGTTTCTAACTTCTATGGAGCTGAGGGCTCACCAATAGTTTGTAATGCAGCTGTTGACCTTGCTGCTCAGTTTTTTAATACAAAGAAGTTACTTTTCACTTTCAAAAAATAAAAAAGATGAGCAACATATTCCCTTTTCTATATTCACAAGAAGACCCAGATATGATCAATGCAAATTGGCAAGCAAGCAAGGGACACTATTGGCACCACGCATCACTTGTACTGTTTCTTGCATCTCCACTTTAATCCAAATTAGGTACTACAAAGTTAAGAGTAAACAAAACAAACTAGTACAAACCATCCATGCATCTCAATACTTTGAGCATTATATTCAATATGTGAAATTCTTCATGGAGCCATGCAGTGATATTGAAAATCATACAATTACTAGTTTCATAAAAACTAAAATGTTACATGAAGCCACTAAGCAATCCTTATGATGCATGCATAAGGAAACAATTTGATTCAAACAAATAAGCATAGGATAACAATATCTTTATTTTTGCAGCACCTTTACAAGTGCAAAATGTACATATTTTATGACTATACACGGGTTCTCTTTGGAGTCATTCTTCTCAATGGTAAGTTTTTAATGGTGAGAACTTTATATTGCTTCTGCACTAACCTTCACAACTCACAGGGATATAACCAAGAAACAAGGATTAATGAAACGAGAAAAAAATGTATAGATGACTTGGTTAATAGATTTATGCTTTTAAGTTCTAAACCGATTGTAGGGGAAAGCATGCAGAAAATAAGTCAGGCCAAATCTGTATGTTGTGTATGACGGAAAAATCAACTGCTAAAGCCTGATCAATGCATCTAATGAAGCATGAAAAAACAACTGAGGCCTGACAAAGATCTCACTGTGGACATGCAGCACAATTGTGCATGAAAGTTGACAGGCAATCGATATCCAATAGGCACACAGAAAAACAAAATGACCAAGATAAGGAAATATTAACAAGCAAAACTCCAAAACAGATGCATGACAGTAGCATCGTGAGTTATCCATTGCTCTAGCTGTACATTTGTCATGCAGTGCATGTAAAAAACTGGAAATAGACAAGTGGAGCAAATTTAGCATCTCTCAAAATAATAATTGCAAGCCTATACGTGCAATCAATTTCCAACTAGTCCATTCTAAAAGTTCCCACAGAATCCCTATATCACTAAGAATTTCGTTGCCTACAAGGGAAATAAAAGGCACAAAAGTGCAATAATTCGCTGAATACAATTGCTTAGAATACTAATAAAATATCATATGTCTAACTCGGTGCTATGTATAAACATGATTAGGAACATACAAAAAGAAAATTTTAGGGTTTAGAAGCCGAAAGGACTTTAGAAAAGCAATAAGTTTAGTGAAATGGCTGAATAAGAAGGAATTGAACATCAAGGAAACAAACCTAAAAACTCGCTAGACAAAAAGAGAAAAGTAATAATGCAAATAAAACCAACATGTACTCAAAAAAGGACAATCAACAGCCAATCAAGGACTATTTATATATTACCCATGTAGTTAGTTAGCTACTTTTAGCATCCCGATATCTATACTTTAAAAAGAATTAGTATCTCTATAGTTATGAAAGTGAAATACCTAGGTCCATTTACCCTAACGCCATCGATTTAATTAACATAAATATAAAAACAAAAGGCAAAAAATATAATTTTAATATTCCAGTTGACGATGACGGAGGACGTCGGTGGCGACGACGACGACACCATTGGAGGCCGCGGGTGACTATTGTGGATAAGGAGAGTGACAGCAAGAGATGAGAGTCGTTTGGCATCTACATCGACAGCCCTTTTGCCGCTCAGCAACTACGTTGACACCAATGCATTTGCTGAGCGACGCAAGGGCTACCGATGTAGATATCGAGTGACGTCACTCGATAACTGCGTCGACGCAGATATAGAGCGACACCACTCGGTATCTATATTGACCCTTTTACCGCTCGACAACTGCATTAGTGTCGACACAATGCAAAGCGACCCTCACCTCTCATCGTCGCTCTCCTCATCCACAACAGCCATCTACGGCCCCAACGGTGACGTCGTTCGCCACCATCGGCACAGTCTGCCACCACCAATTGAAATGTTAAAATTATCTTTTTGTCCTTTGTTTTCGTATTTTTATTGTTCAAACCAACGACGTTAGGATAAATGAAGTTAGATGTTTTACTTTCATAGCTATAAGGATGTTAATGTAACTTTTTAAAGTATAAAGATTAGGATACTAAAGATAACTAACTACATGAGATAATATATAATTAGTCCGTCAATCAACATGTCAACAATGAGAGTGCAACAATTCTTCCAAATTCGAGGAAAAGTGGGCCTGATCCAAGATGAGGTTTCAGCCATCATGCTACTATGTATACCAACTCCGGCCAAACAACATAACCCTAAGCTTAGATTCAAAGAAGAAGAACCAAAGCATAAGACGAAAACTCAGCCGTCATGCTACTAAATATACCAACTCCGGCCAAACAACATAACCCTAAACTTAGATTCAAAGAAGAAGAACCGAAGCACATCCAAGACGAGAACTCAGCCGTCATGCTACCAAATCCTCCGAGTCCGGCCAAACAAGATAACCTCAACCCTATATTCAAAGAAGAAGAAACAAAGCACATCCAAGATGTTGTTTCAACCGTCACAATACCAAATCTATCGGCTCCGGCCAAACAAGATAACCCTAACCCTAGATTCAAAGAAGAACAAGCGGAGCATCTCCAAGACGAGGTTTCCACAGTCATGCTTCTAAATCTACCGACTCCGATCAAACAAGACAGCAACCATTCAAGAACCGACGTATCGCAACAACAGAATCTACCACCAAGAAACACATGTCAAGAAGGATGGCAGGATCTTGACATACCATGACCAGATAACCCCAAGGGAGAGACCCAAGGCCATAGATGGACGAACCAAATGCTCGCCCTCTCCAAAGCGTCGCATGCGATTCGATGAGACCCAAAGAGATCGTAGACAAAACGAAAACAAGATACAGAGCAATACCAATATCTTCGCCATACCAAAAACCCAAATAGGCGATTCAAGACAAAGGTCGGCAGATCGAAGGCGATGGACGAACCGCAGCGTCGCGTGCTCCCTCCGCCACAACTTCGTGCGTGGAGTAGTTAGGCGGTTGGTATTTATCGAAGCCGAGACGAGTCAGACTCGGACCGGGGCGTAGATGACTCGTCACGCTTCTTTGGGCTCTGGAACCGAAAAGCCCAATACAAGATAATTGGGCCGTCAGCCTTCTTGATCCGAAACACCAAACAAGACTATTATAAACGGATCGGATGTTTTGGTTGACCAACCATCCGGACACGTCATAGTGAAGTGTACCAATCCAAATTGATTGTTTGGTCACATTACTATTTATTATAAGGAGCTGTACAAGGAGCGTTCGTTATCGATGTCACGCCCACCATTATGCAATGGTTGGGGGTCACGTAACCTAAAGCGACACGAGGAGCCAATTCTTGGAGCAGCCAATCACTTTCAAGTGATAAAGAGTAAAGACGGATTTAACCTTAAATTAGATAACACCATATATACCAAAAAAAAAATTATACCAAAATTTCTTATGAATATTGATCTCATGTATCAGAAATCTAAAAATACTTGTAAACCCTAAGAATAAGTCCTATACATGTCGATAAGAATGTCAAGATCAAAGAAAGAAATACAGAAAGTGAACGGTATACGACAGAGATGAAATGATAAGATCGGTCCCATATAGCTACCAAAACGGTTTGGAATTAAAACACTGTATTGCCTGTGGTCTTAAACAAGCATTGTTGTCATGTACATGTTTTCCCAATATATCAATGATAGAGAGGAAATGACAGACCTTATATTATTTGACCAGCATCAAATGACCCAGAGAACGAGAGATCAAGAGAGTCACAGCTTCTCTTTTGCTGTAGGGTTTGCTGAATCATGTGACATAACAAGACGCAGGAGTAAATGAGACGAGAGAGAAGGATGACAGGTAAATGAAAGCTGAGTCTCCACATGTCGTCTTATGTAAACACCCACATGTTGGTGAGACACTGGCAGGGGATGAAGAAAGCAAGCACAGGAGAAGACTTTGAGGAGGGAGTCGTGATGGGCAGGTCTCTGTTTTGTGCAAAGGCTGGCATCAAGAAAGGCCCTTGGACTCCAGAAGAAGATATCATACTGGTCTCCTACATCCAAAAACATGGTCCTGGAAAGTGGAGATCAATACCTGCTAATACTGGTGAAATGAGTCCTTCTAAGTTTTCTTCCATGGGTTGTTGGATTTCTGTGCTTTTCCTGTTTCCCTTGTTTGCTTTGCATGAAATTGTTGTCATCTTCAACCTCTAGGTTTGATGAGATGCAGCAAGAGCTGCAGATTAAGATGGACAAACTACCTCAGACCAGGAATCAAGCATGGCAACTTCACTCCACAAGAAGAAGAATTGATCATCCATCTCCAGTCATTGCTAGGCAACAAGTAAATTGTTCTTCATGAACACTGTAGTTGGATTTGATTTGAACACAAATTCTTTGCATGATACTGTGAGCCATGTTTGTGTGCAGGTGGGCAGCCATAGCTTCGTACCTTCCACAGAGAACAGACAATGATGTCAAGAACCACTGGAACACCCACATGAAGAAGAAGATGAAGAGGTATCAAGCAGCAATCAGCAGCCACAGTGCTTCATCCAGAGCAGGCAATGTGTGCCATGAGTTTGCATCGAGATGCTACAACACTGGAAGTGGAAATTCTAATGCCTCCACCACCCATTCTACTCTCCCCATATCCAATCCAAGTACCTTAAAATATGCTTCAAGCACAGAGAACATCTCGAGGCTTTTACAAGGGTGGAGTAGGCCATCTCAAGATCAACATATAAGATGTCAAAGCATCACTAGGTTTGCCAACAGCAGCACCAACTCCTCAACTCCTGTGTGTTTCATGGGGAATCAAATTAAGGTTGAATTACCAGAGAGCTACAATCCAGTCTCCAATGAAGAACTCAAATCATTGCAATTTTTCGAGGGCTCGAGCAGAATTGATTGGGAGGAATCATCATCAGGAGCCACCTTTGGTGGGTCTCAGTCTGTCCCAGGTTGTTCTGATGGGCAGAAGATATTGGATGATCAACACTCTCCTTTGACAATGCTGGAGAGTTGGCTTGCTGATGAGGCTGTGTAGGACAGGCAGATTTCTCAGCCCTACCCACTAAACAATGATCAGATGGAGTATGTTGATTTACTAATACAATCATCTACATGAAAATATCCAAAGCTTCAAATCTGTTCTCAAATGTAAAGTATTAAACTGTGTTTTCCATGTGATCTCAACTCACTCAAGAACAGGCATTTGCAAGAAGTGAATGAACTCATCAAACATGGAAAAGTTTGCCAAGAATATTATTGTTGTATCATCACTGTTATTTGGTGTATGATGACCATTTACATTGAAGTCTCCTAGTCACCCATATCTTATGAGTGTTTGAGCAAGATGATGAGCCAAAGGCTGCAGGGGTAAGGATCCATGCATACACATCTCTCTCTAGATCTTGCAGTGGTGTTGAGTTCTTTGCATTGAGTCACCCATATTTGTTTGAGCAACAAGTGAAACTAAATCTGGATGCATTGGCATGTGCCATGAGTTCGATGCACAGTAATGGTTCCCATTCAATGAGCAAACTTAATTTGTTTGAGCCAAAATAATGAGAAAGAAAAGAAACTTGCCTTTCTTGAGAAGTTTAAGATGACAGCTTTAAATCACGGCAAGGCAGACAAAGAACTCTGCATGTGAGGCCTTCAAGTTGTTTGCAGAAGAGTAGAAGGAGGCACTCTGCCAGCAGCAATTCTTCTTTAACAGTGTGAATTTTTGTTTTCTTGCCAGAAAACAAAAATTAAAAGCAACATCATAGTCATTGAGCAAGATATAATCTAATTATACTATTTTACAAGAACCCCAAAATTGTATTTGTAACCATGCCATGATTTAGGTGCAAGCAAACTACTCAGATGATGAATGGGATAGGAACATGAGTTTGCAAATATGCCACATTATCAACATATGATAGAGCTTCTGAGACAAGCCTTAATCGCATGTTGAGTGCAGGATCCTATCAGTTGCCTTGGTCCTTGGGTCACTGACAATAAATCAGTGGTCAGAAAAGTAGCATGGACAATCATGTTCTTAAACCTTTGATGAATGCCATTGACGAGACATGATTTTAATTTATATTGATCACTCCCCCTCAACATGTACGTGATAGATAGTTCAACCCGACAAGTGACAAACAACCACCTTGGCTAAGGGAGCATATCATTTCTGACATCAAACTACTTTCTATTACAACTCAATTCCTATACAATTCTACATTGTTATCATGAATGTAATCAATGTTGAGATGTAATCAATTCCTATAACACTTGAATACTTGCGCTGCAATGTTGAAGTCTTGCATTTAGATTGTTCCACTGGCTTGTAGTTCTTGGCTTGCGCAACCTAAAGCAGTTTATTGTGTGACATCGACTGCTATAAATTTATGTTGTAGATTCTGAGTGTTTAAGATGAACATACTGCTATTAGATGTGGCTAATCAGCCCCAAACCAAATGAAACTTTGTATTGAATCCTATTGCGAGAAGATGTTATTGACATCCGGGTCAGCCCGACGTGGTTCAAACCCTTGAGCAACAAGGCAATTGGCGCATCCCAACTAGCCCAACCACTTAGCTTTGAGCAAAGGGTAAGGTCGGCACCCGACCTACCTACCTCAGGCGGCGAGGGGGTCGACGCCCAACACCTCCACCTTGGTCGGAGGAGGTTAGCGCTCGACCCGCCCGCCTTGGGTGGAAAGGGGGGTGATGCACGACCCCTCCACCTTGGTCGAAAGAGGAGGTTGACACCCAACCTACCAACCTTAAGTAAAGAGGGGATCGACACCCGACCCCTCCACCTTGGTCAGAGGGGGTCGATGCTCGACCAGCCCACCTCAGGCAGAGAGGGGGTTGGCGCCCGACCTCTCTGCCTTGAGCGAAGGAGGAGGTTGGTGCGCAACCTACCCACCTCGAGCGAAGAGGGGGTCGACCCCCGACCTCTCCACCTCAAGCTAGCCTCGACGAGGTCAGGTTTTTCTGACCTCCGTGTCTCGGGCAAGCCTCACTTTAAGTGGGTTGGGCTTTCCTGACCTAGTCTGTCTTGTGCCTCTAAGGGCTCTCTTCAGGTGGGATGAATTTTCTCAACTCATGCACCTCGAGCACATTTTATTTTGTGCCTCCCGTCGTGGTAGGTTTCTTCCTATGGGTTGAGTCTTGCTAACTCACGTGCCTTAGACACATTTTGCCTTGTGCCTCCTGCCGTAGTGAGTTTGTTCCTATGCGGATCGAGTTTTGCTAACACACGTTTCGAGCACATTTTACCTTATACCTCCCATCGTGATGGATTTCTTCCTACACAACTTAGCTTTTGTCGACTCACGCGTCTCCAGCACATTTTACCCTGTGCCTCTTGCCATGGTGGGTTTCTTCTTACGTGAGTTAGTTTCTTATCGACTCACATGCCTCGGGTATATTTTGCCTTGTGCCTTCCTCCGTGACGACATTTTTTTTTTTTACTTACTAAGGTGATCTTCGCACATCAATCGCTTACGCACTTTCCGAGGTGCCCCTTCATCAATTAGCATCTCTTTGGATTCTACTTGAAGAGTCACTTATCTTCAATATGGGAGGAGAGAGATTGATCCTCTCGCTATAAATCCCCCTTAGTCATGGGGGTGAGGCTCATTTTCTTATTTAAGCCTCTGTGGTCTTACTTAGGAACTTCTTCTTCAAAGCGAGTTGGTCCTTGGCCCTCTTCTTGAAGGCGGGTCGATTCCTGGGTGTCTTGTCCTTCAGGCGTGTTAGCTATCTAGTACCTCGGCCTTCCAGCATCTCGATCCTGAAGAAATCAACCTATGCAGCCTTCTCATTTCCCTTCTCATTTCTTTTTTACAATTTAAGAAATCAACTTATGCAGCCTCATGACTTTAATCTCCTGTAAGTATGGATCTTCAAGCCTTAAGGAGAAGGAGAGTTGGTTTCTCTTCGAGTATAGTGGTAGCTTCTTCAACTCCTCCCCCGTCCATTCATGAGCCGTCACTCGAGGCGTCGACCCCAACTCGGTCCAATTATCCTTCCATTGTCAGTCAGTTAAGGAAGAAGAAGGTCGTGAAGGTGTCCCATCATTGATGGGTCAAGAAACTCGAGGTATAGCAGATTCCCGAAGAGGAACCGAATGAAATGCCTCCTACTCCCGAGGCACCAATGTTTTTAAAGGACCCTCAAAGCTCAAGGTCCTCTTTGGGAAGAAGAGGAGAGAGGCAATGGTCAGTGTTTGACCTATAAAAGGGCAAGTCCTTGCCCTTAGCAGTACTGAAGATAGCCGACCTACCGAACCCAATTCCAGACATGTCTTTATAGCCAAGATGAGAAGGTTTGCAAGAAAGGCAAAAAATATTGAGCAATGCTAGAGCCACGAAGCAATACTACCGAGGGTCCTTGTGCTCCGGGATAACAAAGTAGCCTCACCGTTCCCCCTCGGAGGTTTTGCTCAACGCAAGCTACTGTAATGAAGTGCTTATAAGCCAAGTCATGGCTAACCCTTTTGTTTTCGACTTATCGCATTATCACTACATCACTGCCCTTCTTGACCACATACGAGACATTGGCTCTGTTATTTATCAATGGTCCCTTATGATCGACAATCTTTGGGAGGAGGTAGAGAGGCTAAAGAGGGAGAGGGAAGACCCAACACTTGTCGTCGAAGTAGAGGCTCGGGGAGTCGAGCTAGTGACATAGATGGAAGAGGTCAAGCGACGCCTGACTGAACGGGACAAACAATTGAAGATTGTCCGGAGCAACAATTGTAACATGGAGGTCGAGCTGCTACGAATTACCCGAGAGCTAGACTCGATGAGGACCTATAACTCTTAGCTTGTTAGGCAAGTTGTCATGGCTAACGAGCGGGTCATGACTGTGATCAAACAGTTGGCTACCTTGAATGAGCAAATTCAAAGTTTAGGCAGCGAGTTGGCGGCATTGAGGGAGACGTTGGAAGTTGAGAAGACCATGATACTGAGGTATTTGGAGGAGGCAGTCATCGACTATAAGGCCTCCATCGGGTTCAGGAAAAGTCTGGAGAGGTCAGGGGTCACCGGGTACTATGTCGCCTTAACCCGTTTTAATGTAAGATAATGGGGTAGAGATCGAGGAAGATCTATTCATCGAGTACCCCAAAGACTAGAATGTTTCGATAGCTACCCCAAAGACTTGATGGTCATGAGCAAACTTACGAGGCCTTTGCTTTATCAGTCTTGCCATAGGGAAAATGTTCAAGTGATGTTGAACTATGTTGAGGTCAATAGTTCAGGTCAATTCTTGGCATGTCTCTCGGCAACCATGCGAAAGCCTCAATATTCTCTCAGAGGAAGTTGATAAGCTATACCTGCCTCTCCTCGGGAAGGGTTGCCTCGACCTTAATGGTTTGATTGGGTCGGGCTTCATCTAGGGGCACTTCAATCAACGACTCCACTGGTTCAAGATGTGGGACGAACTTGGCCAAGTCTTAAGAGTTCATAGGTGGTGCCTCAGGTCAGGTTTTCTTCAATAGGGAGACCATCGTCATATAGCACTTGTGTGAACTCCCTTAGGTTGCTTCTTAGCTCTCTAATATCAGTTCTCGTCAGGAACTTCATCGCCATGTGGTAAGTCGACACCATCGCCCTCAATCTGCCTCTCCATCAGCCCTTGAGGTCGAGGTGAGGGTTCCCGGTGCTTTCGAACAAACCACCCAAGGAACCCTCACCGTATGAGCTCTTCAATATGCTCTTTCAGGTCATGACATTCTTTAGTGTCATAGCTATAATCTCAATGGAACCGATAATATTTGAACTTATCTCTTTTCGCGAACAGGGTTTTCATTAGGTGAGGGTTGCTTAAGAGTCCCTTCTCCCTTATTTGCAGGAAAACTTTGGTTTTAGTCATATTTAAAGAGGTCAACTCAGGCCTTCGGCGTGGTAACTCGGGTCATTTATTTCTTCTTTGCCACAGTGACCTTGGGTTGGGGCTGATTGTGGCCGCTCCTGCTTTAACTTCTTGTGTGACTTCTCACGCTTGCCCGAGACTATTGCCTCGGTAACAATGTATTGATTGGCCCTTTGAAGTGCCTCAGATATAGTTGCCAATAACCTCTCTATCAATGACCAAAAGAGGCAAGAGGGCATGAGCCCCATCATGAAGGTATATATTATGAGTGATGGATGGACATCTATTACGCCTCGGATCTCATTTATGAACCGAGCGATAAAGTCTACGAGCATTTCTTCCTCCTCCTGCTTGAGTTCGTGGAGTGTTGTCGTTGAAGGCCGAGGGCGTACATTCCCAAGGAAGTGAAGTTCAAACTCCTTCACCGATTGAACACTTCCAAGGATAGGAGACGAAAGTTCATTGGAATCAATTCCTACTAGATTTTATGGGTGAATGACGACAAGCCTGAGGTGGGGTCGATCGACGCCTCCCCATTTGATTGTTGGAACTCTTGTAGTATCTCCTCCAAACGTCGGTCCATCTGCTGTAAGGAACCCTCCGTCAAGTCTATTGACTGAGTCTTGGATTCAGGAGAACAGAGTGAGGGTGGTATGATTCGTTAAATTCTATGGTCGGGGACCAAAGTACCCCCTCAATCTACAATTAGATAGCCCTCGGACGCTCCTGGGATGTCAACACCGTGTCAAGTTGGGGAATCTCAATGGATGCCAATAGCGATGGAGCCGAGGATTGCAACTGAGTTGGTGGCATCGTTTGTTAGACTAGATGTTGCAAAAAAGGAGTGACAATCTATATCATACCTGTGAGCGTCTATACTTGTTGAATGAGGTTTTAAAAACACCTCAGCAAGGATGAAAAGGAGGCTTGGGGGTGAGAGACCCGAGTCATTGAATAGGCGCTAGTATCACATTGAAGTTTATATCGATATGGATGCACTAATGTGCGGAAAGGGTGGCTGCTGCCCCCCTTGGGTGAAAGTCTTATGAGTCGAGGACAAAGCCTCTTCCCTCGAGCATTCATTGAGAGGATTGGCGAGCGGACGTTCCTGCGACTTCGAGTCATCCTTCTAGCGCCAAATATGTTGTGAGAAAATATCATTAACGTTTAAGTCAGCCCAATATGATTTAAATTCATGTGCATAAGGTTGCCTGAGGTAAGAATGCCAAGCTCTCGATGAGATTATCTAATATGCCACCTACATAAAGATCGAAGTCGAGAGAGATTTCCTGAGCTAATCCCTTCGACGCCTAAATTAATTACCCGGAGTAGATGAGTGCAATCACCAATAGTACAAAGTGACCCTAGATTATGTTAAAAGTGATCTTTTATACTTGGTAGTGTAGGAATGACATTTTATAGAATATTTTTTAGGGAATAACTTTTAATCGCTTTTAACAATCTTAATTTGATATTTTTTCACATAAGCAACAAAAATAAAGACAATTCATAACTATCTACCTTGAACCTATATCCACGGGAAGGCACAGCTTTTGTCTCCTTTCAACCTAGACACATAGATGGTTGATTGATAAAGAGGTTAGCTTGGGAAAACCTTAATTGTTGATAACATAGTCTAAAGATTGGATCACACTGTCATCATTTATCCTTTATAAAAAAAAAAAAACTGTATGAATCATATGCTTTCTCTGAAATTAATGTACATCAAATCAAGAGCAACGCTGTAGATGACATCGCTATCGGACTCGGATGGTGCTTGCACCAATGCCACGTTAACTGAACGCGCTTCTAAGATTTCAATCCTTGCAATGTTCACCGTCGCATCCACATGGGTGAAGCCAAAAGGACTAGCTTTAAGTGTACCGACAATGGACTACAGGTGCTGAACAAAGTGTCCTCTAAAACACAACATATTTTCCTCGCATTACATGTTTTAGTTTCCATAACGTACGAGGCGGCAAACTGTTCTCGGTTATCACCAACCCATCTACCGCCACAACCTTATCAGTAGCAAATTCTGGCACCATCTCAACATGTAAATCATGGTAGCTTACATGTGTAAGGAATTGATCCATATATGTGTCAATTCAACGCACCGATTCGCGAATCGTGTTCCACGTATCAGATTCTAGTCAGAGACACATTTCAAATTGCCGGATAAAACACTAATCGTGTCGTCCTTTAATCATATGTTGGGATAAATATCACTCAAAATTTGGATTGAAAAGATGATTCAAGGAAAAACTTTAATTTCAAGAATTCGTAAAAATTGCTGTCTAAAAATCAAATTGAAATTGAAATATCACTCAAAAACCAGGAAATTCTTTGGTAGATTTTGAAACATCCTTTTAATAATCCCTCTTTTCGGAAGTCGAGCAATCTACTAAAACGACCACCACCGCTCCTTCACCAAACCTTTATAAATTGCCTACATGCACGCTTATGGAGGACTGCAACATCAAGAATGAGCCACAAAAATGATCGACACAGCTGGATTACCTCATCACCGCATGATCCAACCAAACAGAATCGCGCCTGCGGAAAGGACCAGAACATATCCACATCATCTGATCGGGACACGTGTCGGATCGGTTTTTAATTCTTTTCTTTACATAACGACAGATGTGGTCAGGAGGCTTCAAAACCACCCTATTTCATTAAAATCTTTAGATCATGAAAATTAATTCGTAGGTCAAATATTTATCAATGATATACGATAATATATCACTTTTAATTAGATATGCACCGTCGATAATATTAAGTTCAAGGCAACGCTTATCCTAGGCTGAGCTGTCCTAAACTCATCCGCGTGCGAGGAAACAAAGGGGTCAAGGAAAAGGGCTCGACACCGGGGTGCGGTTGTCAAACCCTTTTCCTGAAGGCTTGTCTACCGTACGACGTTTTGATCCCTCCGACTCGGGCGGGTTGACTCGGACAGTCGTCGCGAGTCCCACGGTCAGAATCTGCAACGAGAGCAAACCGACTCATAAAAATCCAATCCATTGATGAATCAAACAAAGCATAATGGATATCCGAGTCAACTCGGCTGGTTAGGTGCCAAAGTTTCAAACGAGGAAAATAAGGGGTGCGGTGGCGGGGGCGGAGGCGGAGGAGGAGGCCCAGGTGCAATGCACTGCGTGCGAACCAATCACGGGACGCGGTGCTCCTCATAGTGGCCATGATCTTTCGTTTCCGGGTTCAATGGATCCGCACGGATCCGTCACGTGAGCCGAGGGGTTGTAATTAAGGAGATGCACCCATTCCGATCATAATCCCCTTTCTAGAGAAGAGTATCTAATTATGAGCTCTAAAAAAGAAAACCTAATTATGATCATTAATCCCCTTGTTGTCTACATGCCTCTCCTTTCCTTCCTGCTCTTTGAGTTCCCGCATAAAAAGTAATTATATGATAATTAGTTGGTCAGTGAGGATTTAATATAACTATGTAAAAATAATTCACCTTAAGTCTCTGCGGACAGGAGCACATTAATCACCTCGACCTTAAGCCGAAGGCTTCCGGGACTTCATGTGTGGTCTCCTTCCCCTATATATCCTATCCGATCCGCGTCCATAAGATATATATGAATCTACCTTCGTCTGCGTGAGTGTGTGTGTTCGAAACTTGATACAAACATACTACAATTGCACCACCAAGAGAGAAAGAGAGGCTTACTTCTTGGCTGTCAGCCAGCAGACGAGACAACCGATGGCGAGGAACAGAGACGCGGAGGCCGAGCTCAACCTGCCGCCAGGATTCAGGTTCCACCCCTCCGACGAAGAGCTCGTCGTGCACTACCTGTGCCGGAAGATAACCTGCCAACGCCTGCCCGTCCCTATCATCGCCGAGATTGATCTATACAAGTACAATCCTTGGGAATTACCAGGTACTGCACTGCACCCATAAAACAATAGATGAATCAAGAAGTTCATTCTTTGATTGGGTAACACAGACAGCAATGTATATGCAGATAAGGCATTATTTGGACAGAAAGAATGGTACTTCTTCACACCTCGGGACCGGAAGTACCCGAACGGGTCGAGGCCGAACCGGTCTGCCGGGAAGGGATACTGGAAGGCGACCGGTGCTGATAAGCCGATCTCGACCAAGGGGAGCAAGACAACTCTTGCAATCAAGAAAGCCTTGGTCTTTTACTCCGGGAAAGCACCGAGAGGAGTAAAGACCGACTGGATTATGCATGAATACAGAGTGGCCGATACGGGCCGTCGTGCCAACAAGGGAAGCCTGAGGGTATGGAATCAACGATAACATCATATATAATCTGCTAAAATAGTGCATGTAACCATAGAGATAATGGAAGCTCTCTTTGGACTCGTGCAGTTGGATGACTGGGTTCTTTGCCGGCTGTACAACAAGAAGAATACCTGGGAGAAGAAGCAGCAACAAAGGGCGACGTCCTTTGGAGAGCCCATCGATTCATCGGACGAGGCATGGTCAGCAGCAGACAGCTTCAGAACACCAGATTCTGAAATTGAAAATGATTTTGTGTTGCCGCATTTCAATGATCTAGGCAGCCCATCACAAGCTTCTGCTGGAGTGCAAGCATGGAGCGCCAGGCAAACAATTGGCCTCCAGATGGTGGAAAAAGGTCCGAAAGAAGATAATGAATGGTTCATGGACTTGAATCTGGATGAGTTGCAGAGCACTTACATGAGCTTGGGATCAACACCTGCCATGGATGCAACAAACCAAGATTATTTCTTCCAATCCTTAGTACCGCCCATGACGAGGCCAAATCAGACCAGCATGCTACCTTTCTGAATTAAGTGGGAAGTTGAAGATGTAAATAAGAGTAGATGCAAACATCTAAAGAACACTCTAGGATTTTTCACTTCGTTTCATGCATTATATGCAAACACTTTTGAAACAATTAGTTTCCTTTGCTGATAAAGATCTTCAACTTCTTTTAATTTGGACAGAAAACATACAATATTCCATTTCTACCACTGATTCAGCAATCATTTTGAGCATCAAAGCCAACAGTACGAGGATAACAAATTTTGTTCATTTCAACCTACCAAAGAAAGCGTACATAGGTATAGATGTAACAATATCTACATAGTGATTATTTTTTTTTAAGACATTGCACTAAGACTTTCATAGAACATCATAATGCATCTGAAAGAGAAGGTGTAAACCATGCTATGCACATTCAAAGCAGACAAACTGAAAGCATTGCTTGGTTGTTTGGTTGTCTGCATTTAGAATTGCTACTATGGAAGAGGGTGTCAACCATGCTGTGTACATGAAGAACTCTATGATATTGTTTAGGAGACTAAAACCGAAAGCATTGCTTGCTGAATACTTAAAGTTAATGTCTACCTATAATTTTATTTATCAAATTGTAATTATCAAACACCATATCATCTTATGTCATTAGACATGTTAGCACTCATTTCCCGACCAATCATTCATTTGAATCACAATTTCATTATAAATCAGTAATAAGTCTTGAATGTTTGATTATACTTAATATACAATAGTCCAACTATTCTTTTTTCTGTATGAACCTAATGCATGAATTTAAGATGTAATTATAATTTATGGAACAGAATAAGAGAAAGAGGATCACAAGCAGGCGACGGAGGGGAAGCTTTTTGGGGTACAAAGTTTTGGGTCAGAAGCTCAATCAAGGTTACAGAGCATTCGATCACCTAGTACCTCAACTGAGGTGCTCGCCTAAGTGACACTTGGTTGAATGTCTCGCCTTGTCTGAGCACCTGTATGTCTCTTGACAACATTGCTTTATAGATATAACAGTCACCCAAACATCTCTCAACAACATCAATTCCTTTTTAACAACGAAATCCTCTATTTCTGCTGCACATAGCCAATATGAACAAAGTATCTCTAATAAAGATGATAACCATTTCATGATGTTATTCTATACTGACACATTGGCTGCAACTCCACTTAAAAATATATCTGAACTTTGAATTAATAGACTGGACTAAGAACAATATTAGAGATTATTTACTGGATGGAACAAAAAGGTTTGTTCATGGCTAATCCCTGTGAATTCATCTCCAAATGCTGGAAGGAGAGTTTTAAAATGAATCAAGGTCCTCCTGCACCTTCTGACCTAATAGAGTTTATGAAAGCTCATCAAGGTCCAGACAAGCATCCAATTGATTAGCACCTCCACTGACATTGTTTCCAACATTCAATAATGCTTGTTTCTTGAACTATACTCAACTAACATTGACACGATATCTTTAATAATGAAAATGACTGTTTCAGAATTTTACTCCATACGAACACATTGGTAGGACTGTTACTGCACATAAAAATAACTGAACATTGGATTACATGAGAGAGAGAGAGAGGAGAGAGAGAGAGAGAGAGAGAGAGAGCATCCTTTATATGAAATAAAATGAACAATCTTTATTCCCTTTAGGGTTTGATGCATTTAAGTGCCAGCTAGCAGCAGACAGAATCTATACTCTATCCAGTGTATAACATACTACACGAACTAGCATTGCTGCCATGAAGACAATGTATGGATTCTTCAATGAATGAGTTACGTAGAGACCTAGGGGACTGACATTTTCTAGTTTTAAAGGTAAGGTAGCAAATCAGTCTATGCTATTTAGTTCCCAAAACATAAATGCTCCTAGTGCACCATATACTGAAGATAGCAAGCAAAATTTCAGAAACGAATGCACTTGCAGAGAGAAACAACATAACAGATTAACATATGCACACACTAATAACTAGCACAGTATTAATATCATAAGTAAAAACGACCTTATAAATTTTGCTGTAGAAAATGGCAAGAGGGTTTTTTAACAAGATACATAAGTAGAGAAAAAAATAAAACGCACCAATCTATACAAGTTCCTGAAAGATGAATGGTTGTAGCCTGAGGAGCCTTCTTGTGTGAGAGGTAGTTGGATAACTTCAACATAAATAGTTGTTCAGCAATGATAGAGGGATAAAACCTGCTCCCTAGGGTGCACCACAGTGATTCATTATCAATTTTCCAAAGAAGAAACTTGTCTGTTCTCCATTTCTATCCCCATCAAACAGACAGGCCAGCATTTTCTTGACCAGAAACAGTGCTCCGTTTATCGCCTCAGCCAAAAGAATGCTTATTTGCATGTCATCATTATTTTTAGAAGCATTTTTATTCTTCCTATGTAATAACATCAAGGGGAGACAGATGCTACTATGGTATCTTGTTCGGCGGCACAGACACTGTCATGCTCATTCCACCTGCAAACTTACGTACTGTTTAATTCATCTACCCAACAACTAAAACGCCCCTTTTTCGCTCCTTATCAAAGAGCGTATAAAGTGTCACTTGTCATACAAAAAGAGAGACCTCACTGTAACATATCATCAAACATGTTGTTCGCATGACGCAAATGACGTTCTTACACCAGAGAGCGAACCAAGAAGGCCATAAAATCTCCACCGCAGAACCACCCCATTCGCGCACACAGGAGGCTTCTTCGGGTTGCTAACACCTGCATCAGTATCAGAGACGACACAAACACTCACATGAGCGCTTCGTCTCATCATCCCTCTGCAAGGCACGTCTTAAGAACTGCGCACAAGGCTGACGCCCCGCCGCTACCATCGGATGCTGATCATCTTCTTCGCACGCACGATGATCAATAGAAGGATGGTGTTGATAGGGTAGGCTCGCAGGAACAGAGACGGGAGGGAAGGAGCGGATAAACAAGGCAGCGTAGGAGAAGGGTGTGGGAAGATCCACCGACGGAACGCGAGCTTTGCTGTTTGCTTCAAGGGAGAGAGTGAAACATGGTGAGATGAAACTTCTGAACACGGAGGAGAGGAAGGAGCGAGCTCGCGATAGGAAGGTGGACTGCTTTTGAATTATACAGGATGAGTTGGTTACTTTTTGTATTTTTGAAAATTGAAATAAGAAAAAGAACATTCATTTATATTTTGGCAATGCCTCCACCGAATTAGCTTCTCACAAGGTTTCCATATACTCTCCGAAAGTTGACTTCAGGATCCTCATATAAGCATCAGTGAGTTGTTATGTTCTGCTACTACTGAATCGCTGGCTCGACGTTTTCTCGGTTAAAATCAATAATGCAGTTTCTGTAGGAAACATGCTACAATTTAGCATAACATAAAGCACAACGACAGGGTCCATAACAAAAGATGAATTTTTGGCCATCTGAAAACTCAGTAGGAACAAACAAAATGTACTTCTAATTAACGCACTAAAAACAATCCGAAATGTGAATTTTTTATTTTTTGGAAATTGAGAGATCTGGCATCATATAGAACAGCCATACGAGATCATACATTAATCGCGGGCCTCCCATCTCATGATTGTGGAGCTTTTCTTTTTTTAATGAGGTCATTGCTACTCAATACCGCTTCCCTTTTGGTTCATTTTTCGAAAGCATCATTCCTGAAAGCTTGTTAACCTCGTATAGAAGACCAGCAGAGAACAAGAAGCTGCAAAAACAGGGAACAAGAATGATTAGTGGCCTAGATATAATATGTCGAATGCAAAATAAACACAATCTCATAAAACATAAAATCAGAAGTATAAAATTTCTACAATTTTCAGCAATGGGAACCGGGAACTGCAACTTTCTGTAGCATTTAAAAGTCATAGGATATTGTTGGCAGCAAAATCATGTTAATAACATTAAACCACTATGTATCTCTCATGAAGTAGAAATGCACAGATTATTCCATATCCAGGAGATCCTTTAGGTTATAATTAAATTGGATAAACATCCTTCCATCTGCAGAGAAGTTGTAAAATTAACTCATATGGTACAAGAATTATTTAATTTCGACAAAGTTGGATCAATTCTTGAACTTAGCCCTTGCATCCATCTTCGCACTAATAACTTAACAATGAGTTTATGGCAGGGTTAACAGTGTGATCACTGGCCCACATTGTATAAGCCAAATTTATGCTACAGTTGCTCCTCCATTGCAACTAGGTTAGGATGTAAGAGCACTAGTCATGAAAATAGCATCCCCGGATGCAGGGTAAAAGCTGCATAAATTTGAACCTCCCAAACCCCACATTGGTAAGAGGCTCAAGCAATTTAAAGATACTGATCATATTCACATGGTATCAACCATCCAACTGAAACACTATCATACAGACTTCAAATAGCCAAATCAAACACATCTATTTGATGGGAAAACCATAAAGCAAAAATATGCAATCAGGATCTAAGTAGAACTGTATTATTTATCCATAGCAGTTTATGGTCATGCAGAAAATTAGACAAGAGTGATGCATTTTCACATAGACGAACAAAGCATTTAGTTAAATACCATGTTGTTATACAAACACGGTGAACTGTGGCAGCAGCAATAAGAGCAGCAATTTCAGCCAATACAACTGCAAGAAATATAAAGAAGTCAATTAAACAACTTAAGTGTCAGATGATGTCAATCAAAATTAGTTTAAACATTATTGAGCTCACCGGCACCCCATCCTGTCCTTGTGCCACTTGATTCTTGGTAGTTGCCAATGAACTGCAGAATATATTCAAATTAACACAAATGAGATAATGTTCGCACAAGATTCTTGCGCTAACCAAATGGCACCACAGCTATTCATCCTAGACCACATGACATCAACCAAATGATGGAGATTTACCAAAGAAAGTGAACTTGCAATGTTATATAGTGGTAATCTGAAATTTCTATATCAAAAGATGGTTTGTCAAGTGGCATTTGCATAAGATATTGTGTTATTAACCTGGTTGTATAACTTTGGATATTCATCCTAAAGCACATGAATCCACCAATAAAAAAAAAAGATTAACTTACAAAATGATTTCTGAAAGTGTATTAACCAGTAAACTAGGGATACATGTTACAAGTGTCCAAATCAGGAAGGCAGCAAATAGAGAATACAGTAGATTGATTATCTTACAAAATCAACTGTGTCATCCACCTCCTTTGCCTTGTTTAAAATTAATATCCAATTTGAAGTAGGAAGTATATGGAAGATTTTTACTCAAAACTACATTATTTAGCTTCTGCAAGACAAATTACTACACCAACCCTAATTTACTGGGTATAATCACAATGCAAAATTTTGAAGGTTAACCACAGACACTCAAAATTAAAAATCAAAATCAGCAAGGCTCATTTTTTATAGTAAACAATATACTGCTTTTAAACAAAGAGTTGAAATGGCATTTATGCCTATTATCCTGTTGCATCAATTACCCTCACCAATTAGTCAGCCAAGTATTTGAAGTGATAAGTATTGTCAAGGTGATAGACAAACCTTAACTATATTAAACCAGATAAGTTTAGAAGGGATACAATCAATTTTTATCTTAGATTGCATACCGCAACTTTGAACATCTAAACAAGTGAATTAACATGCATGAACTTCTTCCACAGTTTTGCAGTAAATAAAAATGACAAGAAAATTACATGAAAACTTACCGTGAGCAACAAAAGAAACAAAAGAGAACTGATGAAACCACCAAAGATTGTCAACAACTCAGAAGACCCCAATTTTTCTCTATACATCTCAAGAAGTGAGAGAATGATTGCAAATGAAAGTAGCGAGTAAAGCATGGATCTCCCGGGACCAGCCATGGAGTCTATCCTACACAAAACAAATTAGGAGAGCATCATTGAGAGTAAAACCATGTAATAACAAAAGAATAGCACAAATTTTAAGTACAAACAAATACATGGCAATAACTTATCAAAGAAAAGGAATTAAAAGAAAAGATATGTATCTGATAACCATGATCTTGCCGCCCTCACTTAAGTTAACTATCCTTTTTCAAGATGGTTTGATATCTAAAGGACTGGTACAATCATGTTCTTACAAGCAAATCCATCATTTCTCATCTGACAATCTCATGGAACCAGGCAGGCGCCGTCATTGTGGGTGCCTTAGTGTCCATTTGAGCAAGGGTTAATCAAGATGCACAGCGCGTTCCAGCAAACTATTAAATCATCCGAGAGTCTCAATTACATCAGGTAAAGCATTTCGAGCTGTTTGTCAGCGCGACTGGGAAAGGAAGGTCGCTAGACTGGCTAAGTTAGTAATGGTTTTAAGTGGAATCAGACCAGCAGCAAATAGGGCAACTAGTCCATTCCACTTTAAAAAACCTAGGGCTTTTGATTCTAGCAAAGCAAAGAAGGCCGCCGTACTATAATCGCAGCGTTCCTCAGCCGTCAGATACTAAACAAAAGCACAACAGATAGAACAGGTCAAAAATTTGGTCTTTTGAACAGGAAAAATGAGAACACAGAGGGACTCCACAGAGGCATAGAGAACTCCTATCCGCAAGAAAATGACATATCGACAAATTCATCCTACAACAAGACCGAAAGATAACGAGATCCAAGTTCAAGATGCAATACCAATAAACGATCGAAAGGAAGAAATCTAGATACAAGCCTTCCAGCAAAGAATCCAGCTAAGAACAAAAGATTAGGAGAAGCAGCAAAAGGGGGAAAAAAGATAGACAACAGGTAGAGGAGATCCAGATCAGATCCGCTTATGCATTATGAACGCAAGCAAAGAAGAGACGGGTACAGATGAAAGTCAATAATAACAGGGAAAAGAATGCTACCACCACAGATCGGAGCCGCGCCTTGTCGCCGGAGAATACTGAGTGACGGAGACGAAGACCACTGGGTTAGGGCTTCAACGAGAGCAACCGCATCGGGTTCTTAAGAGCGCGGCTTCGAGTCACGACTTGGGTAACGACCTAAGTAATGGGAGATGGTCCGAGTGAGTAAAGTGGCCGGTCGGGGCTTACTGGAATTTGGTTTAATTGTGACTCAATTTGGATTCTGTCAGCCGCGGATTAAACGGCAAAATTGTTTAGGACCTCACTTGAATTTGGTTTATTTACGGCTCGATTTGTGTTCGATCGGCGAAATTGGTTTAGGCCAACATAGCGGCAAAATTGTTGAAATGGTTATTAATCTTAAAAGCATTCATGCAAATAATATAATTTTATGGTAATATTCGTGCAATTCGATATTCGGAATGGGTAAAGCGTGCAATTGTATAATCTTCCATATGTACAAGTAAAGATTTTTTTTACATTTTACCTTAAAAAATTACTATTTGATTTTTACTCAATAGTATCCCCTAATTGATTTTTAGGTATATTTCTTCATCAATTCAATAAAAAAAATTATCCTTCACTAATTATTTTTTATTATCAACATACTATAGTCTTTGTCCATTACGAGTAATATCACTCATCACCTCTTTCGACCCTTGCTCCCATTAGAGGAGGAGGAAGCAATAAGGGAAAGCAGGTAACGAATGACGCTGCTTGTGGTGGGACCATAAGACGAAAGTTGAGATGACAGAGATAATGAGTGGTGCCACTTGTGGTGGCCAAAGGTAGTGAAGGTGATGACAGTGCTAATGGCCAAGGGTGGTTGATGGAGAGCCGATGAATATTTTCATCAAAGTGATAAAATATGTGTGATTATGTGTCATGAACAAGTCCGTAGATAGGTTGATCTATGTAATACTTATGTATTTTTGTATTGTTTGATTTTATTCATACCTTAAGCGGTATATAAAGTGCTTATAATAGGCTTGATAATTTTATTTTAGTAGATTTTTATAGTAAATTTCAGGTTGGTACACACGTGTGTGGTCATCATTTAAGATAAAATTATTTAAAAATAAATTATTCAAATAATTATTTTATATGTTTTTTTAGTGTATAGAGCAATGCAAAATGTCAGTCATCTTGACACTACGGAGCTACTTGACACTACGGAGCTACTTGAGTGACACAAGACTGGATAGACATTTGAGATAGTGTATAGGGCTAGTTCGTTACATAGTTTTATAGTGGTGTCATACGGACACTTTTGATTATGATAGCTTATCTTGGATCATTTGTTGTATGATTGTTTAGAGCTTGTAAAATCTATTTTTTATTTTATATTATATTTTAAGTATTAATTAAAATATTTGTTTGTGAGATCTTAAATATAATGCTTTTATTAACTTATCTTCTTGTTAACACTTCCTTAAGAATACTAAAAATTTACAAGGAGATTAACCCTTTGTGGATAAATATGTAAGAGTGTTATACGACCTAGATAAAACTAGCTAAATTCGTAATATATGGTATCACAGTATGACAAACACACTTAGAAATATTTGACATGTAAAATATGAAAGATCTAATGAGACTGTGTTAAAGGTAACCAGCAAGTATAAGAAATATAAGAAAATAAGTCATATAGAGATACTAGTATTTGAATTTAACATTCAAAGAAATTATGATATGATAACCTAACTCGATGGTGCTCAATGCAAACAGAGGTATTTGACGAAGAATAAAACTGTGGGTTGCTCGAACATAAAAAAAAAGAAAAAAAAAAGTTAATTAAAATTTAACGTCATACAACATGAAAATTTTATTTTCAATAAGAGATGGATGCATTCATAAGATACTAAATAATGAAGACGATGACCTCATACGATGAGTAAGTCATATTAAGTAATATCGTATACACTGGAATTCCTACTCGGCTACCTTTTGTCTTCCCTACTCTTCAAAATCGAATATGATCTAAGTTGCCAAACCTTTTCCATATCTTTGTGCAGGCACGTCGTGTCACCTTTCACCGTCCTCGAATAACTTTGGTGAGGAACAAGAACCTCGTCGTTGTCATCTCTCTTCACAGCTCTCCCCCCTGCAGCATCAAGCATCAAGCATCAAGCATCAAGCATGAGCATCAGAATCGGCGGCATTACGGGCTATGCTTGAAGCCTCGAGACGCCATTGGATGCCATGTTTTCTCACCCATTCGTTCCAACCCTATCTACCGGGCGACCACAACGTTCCTCGATAACCGCCTCATTCTTTGAACGGTAGCTATCAGATCCGTCGATCCGACGGTTCCTAGTCACTTACCACCCCTAGTCTCTTCACCCGCTCGGTCGACGCCGGCCTGTTCCGTTTCCCACCTTCACTTCTCTCTCTCTCTCTCTCTTCGTCGCCCCGAGGAAGCAGGAATCGCTGCTCGCTCTCAGCCCCTATTAATAATGGCACGATCGGAGTCCCCGGATGACGGGAGGAGCTCCACCATCCCCAAACAGTCCTAGAGTCCAGAAACCCTAGATCCCACCCTACCCTCTTATTCCTCGCGATGGGAAGCGGAGGCTGCGCCACGAACGTTCTCGGAAGCCGCAGCTCCATGACGGGGTGGCTCCTTGGCGGCTTGCTCCTCGCCCTTTCCCTCCTCTCGGTCCGCCTCGGCCGGCTCCCGCCGCCGTTCTCCTGGATCCGGCGGAGGAGGAAGAAGCCCGTCCGGGTTTACATGGACGGGTGCTTCGACATGATGCACTATGGCCACTGCAATGCCCTGCGCCAGGCCCGGGCGCTCGGCGATCAGCTTGTGGTCGGGGTTGTCAGCGACGACGAGATCACGGCTAACAAAGGGCCTCCCGTCACTCCTCTGCACGAGAGGTATGTCGGTCTTATGTGGATTTCTCGAGAGTTGTGCTTATAGTTTCCAGTGAAAGGAAATTTAGTAGACATTACCTGTTCTTATCCTTCTAATAATGTTTCCAATTTTGATTAGGTTGTGGCTAATTACTTTTTTTCATTGTATCTTCTCTTGGTCAATTAATTGCCATCCTTATCTTCTTGTTTTATGACGCTATTCATATTTAGGACAACAAGTAACTTGAGCTTGTTGAGTTCTTTGGTCACTGGTTATCACAATTCAGATGACTATTTGATTTTTCAAAAAATTCAATTGATAAAATTTGTGATACTATGCTATAAATCTTCAGCATATATATATATATATATATGACTATTTCTTTAGTAGTTAAGGTGCAGCTGTACAATACATGACTATCCTTTTTGAACCTCTATTGTCACTTATCAAATTTGTTAACCCTATAAATGTTTTGAGTCTTCACTGCCGCATTTTTGTCTTTCAATTAGTTATGGTATACCTGAACTCCTAGTTCTTGTAATGCTGTGATTTTTCATGATTTTCATCAGTAGTTCTCCATTTTTTTTTTGAACGGATGTCTAATTTTATATATTCTTGAATCCATTTCACTATTGGCTTGTCCTTGTCAATATGCAAGGTCTGTTATCATTAATTTGCCAGTTCAGAATCCTTATTACAGTGCCTCTTCAAATATCTAAGGCCATCTTTGAGGAACCATATTGGCTGCTCCTGTTATTGGATGCTGTTTTTGGTATCACATACTTCTTGTAGTCATTTCTGTTGGTTATTGTTTTACTTCTTCCTCCATTTTTTTCAGCCGTTCAAGATTGTTCTGCACGTTTCCTTATCTAAGGCTTTACTTAATCTAAATTTGTTATGAATCTGACACTCGATCACATTATAGGGGTTATCATTAGTGTCACCCCCACGCCTGCACCCCCCCCACCCCCCCCAAAAAAAAAATTGCCCAAACATAATGGAAAGGACTTTTTTTCAGAGTATGGATCATATATAGTTGTCAATTTGAGTGGCAAATATATAAATGATACAAAATTTGGCTTTTGTATTTTATGAAGTAACATTGTCATGAAATAAAGATAATTTTGTTGACATTGTTTTGCCTTGTACAATTGAAATTCCCTCAGCAGTGATTTGTACGTTATTGATTATTCTGTATGTAATTTTTTTATTTTCCTCTTTTTGGTAGGATGATAATGGTAGGTGCAGTGAAGTGGGTTGACGAGGTCATTCCAAATGCTCCTTATGCTATCACTGAAGAATTTATGAATAAGCTCTTCACTGAATACAACATAGATTATATCATCCATGGGGATGACCCTTGTCTACTACCAGATGGTACTGATGCATATGCCTTGGCCAAAAAGGCTGGTCGCTATAAGCAAATCAAGAGAACTGAAGGAGTGTCAAGCACTGACATTGTTGGTACTCATCCTGCTCTTGCTCTTGCTCTTGCTTTTATGTCTCAAACCAAGACCTTTTTTTTATGTGTGCAATCACATCAGACCTGAAAGTGCAATTTATTTAGACCTCGGGATGTTCCAGATATGGCATTAACATCAAGGTTAAGATGTTGGATTGCTTTATCACCTTTTGCAATTTTATGGAGTAAAATCTTGATTACTCATAATTTACTATGCTGTGGATTGAATCAGTTCCTTTAAGCCAAACATTGGCAGTTCATTAAGTTAAGTAGCTTGACCCTTATGATAGTATTTTTTTAATTCTGGTTCAGCGGGGATTATCAAGTTATCGTTCTGCTCCACTTTTATTATTTTTCTACATGATTACCAATCATTCAACTAATTCACTTGTTGCTGATTGTACGTCTTTGTCATAGTGCTTGCCTTATGGGAATATAATCCATGTGGAAGATCTCCGTCTTGAAAGTTCTTGTAAATACAGATAAATCTTAATCTTCTCGTGCTACAAGTGCATGTGGAAGCATCACCTGGGAGGATTAACCTTTTATATAGTATATTTTACTTGCACTGTCACTTTTTTTTCCTTGACCTTGGAAGTTAAATGGCATAGAAAGTGGTTTGAGAATGCTTTGAGTCGATTTCAAATCTTGGAATTATCTGTAACACAGCTTATTCTGCTAATGTCATGTTGGTTATTTGGCACAAAAAAAAGCTTACTTTCTTCTTTCGTTTACTTCAAATGGCATGTCGTTTATTTAACTGGTCTCTTTACACAGTGAGCTAACTCCTGCAAGTGACATAAACAGGTCGCATGCTTCTTTGTGTAAGA